ATAAATTGCACCTCCTAAATGTCCTAGTGCGATCGAGGATAAAGACATGTAACTCTGCTTTTGGAAATATTCTCATACGGGACATACGTTTATAGTTACACTTCCATCAAACGAGCGGCCTTCAAATACTCTGGTATGGTATCGAAAGTGGGGAGAGCTTGCTTCCCTTCTCTAAATATCCTCAAAACAACACTCCACTGGCTTTTGCCAACTTGAGTCACTTATGTCGTAGGCAAGATATTCGTCTGTTAAACGAAAGATGGTTTTACTGTTCAGCAGCTCGCTCCGTCCTACTTTATGGTTGTGAAACATGACCGGCAACAATGGAGGATATTCGTAGGCTATTAGTATTCGATCATAGGTGTCTTCGATGCACTGACTGTATATCCTGGGACAATCGAGTAAGCAGTGGAGTTGTTAAGAAACGAATACTAGGTAGAGATGGTAAATCAGTTGATGAAGTGGTGAATCTTCATCAGTTCAGATAGCTGAGAGATATGTTACGAATGCTCAACCACCGACTGCCTCGTCGAGCTATGCTGTGTGGTGTAGGAGTAGGTTGGAAAAAAGCTAAGGGCAGCCAGATTAAAACATGGCACAAATACACGAAGTCACTAACAGGTGGATAGGGTCATGTTGGTAGTTGCAGACTAACCTGGTTGAGATGCGCGAGATGATAGTAACCGATGGTTAGAGACCTTGAATCCACTCCTTGCGTTCTGAAAAAAATTTTAATCTTCTGTATTCCTCATCACCTTTATCTTTTTATGTTTAAGTTTATTTCACTAGATTCTACTTCTTGAATAGCATCTACGGATTGTGATCTTTCCGATTACTTCTCATACTTGTATTACCTCTTCCACTATGGTATTTGAATCGACAATCACCTCTCTGTGTTACCGTGGTACGGCAACTTGCACCGTACGTACCTACGAAGTTCTTCGTTGTAGCTGACTGGCTTATGGACAAGCGTATATAGCTACAGCCTGTAAACTCTTACTAAATTCTTTTTCATGGCAAGGATGCTGTTTACCAAACAAATATTCAGACACGGCTTAAACCGCATCAGTGAGTACAGAGAACCCACCTGGAGCAGTTGGAAAACCCTCATTTTAAACCACCGATGCACATGATCTCCAGGATCTTAACGGGAAAAATAGTGGATGAACCTATTCTTATTAGTCATCGGCTACAATAAGACTGCATCCCCCAGACGTTGCTCCACTGCCCAGTGGTTTAGACTTTTAGATCGAAGTCTGATGGAGAAGCCCCTAAAAGGAAACTGCCCGCTTTGGTCTGAACACCTAGACAATATCCCAGTTCACTCACTCACTACTATTACTACTAATACTACTACCACAATTCAGTTACTTGAACATTTTGATCACACATTTCAATGGACACTATATCATAGTTTAATAAAAGATATTCTATACAACAACTCATTGTTGATTAGAGTACACGTTCTAACTAGAATACAATTCATTATTTTTGTATACACCTTGTTCTGTTGGGTTGTTTTTTTTTTCAATTTGATTTCTGAGGAAAAAAAACAAAACACTCACGCACTCACGCACACACACACACACGCAAACAACGTCTGTTCAAAGAAATTACTCTCGTCAACTACTACTTTCTGTAATCAATAATAGTACAAAGAGAATAAGGGTAGGGAGAAGAGCAATAGAGAAAAAGGATCACTGTACCCCGTCGATATCTTCAGCTACATATCGAGAAAAAAAAAGAATCACAATAATTAATAGAACTTGTTCCAGTGAAAAGTATCCAATATCTCATAAACATACCCTATCTTAATCATCATGTGTGTGAAGTGTGTATGTGTGTATGTAGTGATATGAAATGGAAACATTGTTTTTTTGCCTAAACTCCGTTAATAGCTCCCTCCCTCTCTCTCCATTAATATTGCATATTGATTATGGATTGGAGTTAATGTGTTTAGTTAGATCAAGAAATCAAATGCAACGTAGAAAACTTCGTACGCGCATGTAAGTACATCAGTTCATGTTGTTAAAACCACATTAGCACAGAGACGCAATTGTCATTTCAAATCCTATAGTAGTAGAGATAATAGGAGTATGACTACTGGTACTAGAAAGGATTAGGGTTTCAAGAGGATTATTCAAGAAGTTATAATTCAGTGACACAGATTTAGAAAGACAAAAGTAGAGGGTGTCGAAGAAGAATCCATAAGATTAAGATTTAGGAGAACACAAAGAATGGATGCAGCTGTGCCATCAAGAAGAAGATTCTATGAATATCTATTGATTCTTCGGTTTGGATATATACTTACTTACTTACGCCTGTTACCCCCAATAGAGGAGCATAGGCCGCCCACCAGTTTTCTCCAACCAACTCTGTCCTGGGCCTCTCTCTCCAGTTCTGTCCAATGTTTGTTCATTCCTCTCATATCTTTCTCTATTTCTCGGAGTAATGTATTCTTTGGCCTTCCTCTTTTTCTTTTGCCTTGAGGGTTCCATGTGAGGGCTTGTCTCGTGACGCAGTTAGGTGCTTTTCGTAGTGTGTGTCCTATCCACTTCCACCACTTCTTCCTCATTTCCTCATCCACTGGAATCTGGTTTGTTCTCTCCCACAATTCGTTGTTGCTGATGGTGTCTGGCCAACGAATACGAAGTATTTTGCGTAGACAACTGTTAATAAACACTTGTATCTTCTGGATGATGACTTTCGTAGTTCTCCATGTTTCCGCTCCATACAGTAGAACTGTCTTCACATTTGTATTGAAAATCCTGATTTTGGTTTTGGTTGAGGTTTGGATATATAGTATAGAAACTATAGCAGACACTTCAGAACCATTGGTCAGATAGCATCAGCAACAATCTACTATGTGAGAGAACAAATCAGATTCTTCCAGTAGAGGAAGTGGATAGGAAATATATTGAGAAAAGCACTCGACTGCGTCATAAGACAAGCCCTCACTTGGTATTCTCAAGGTTGAAGGAAAAGAGGAAGACTAACGAACACACATTACACCGAGAAATGTTGAAGGCCTTGGGAAGGATGAACAACAATTGGATAGAAATAGAAAGGATAGAGTGGTCTGGAGAATGCTGGTCGGTGGCTTATGCTCCATCAAGGATAACTTGTGTAGGTAAGTAAGTAAGAAACTTTATGTGTATAAGAAATACTAATATACATACATACATGAAGACTAGAGATATAAAAATGGAATTTTGACTAGTCTCCTTAAGTTGTAATGATTGATTTTTAAAAAAAATCTCGGTTTCAAAGTAAAATAATTAAATGATGAATATTCCATGTTATAGATTCAATCATGATGTAAAAAAAATCAAAGTTTTTAACTTTATAACTAATGTTAGTCAAAAACAATACATATCAGCCAATCAGCCAGTAAGCAACGTAGAACTTGGTACGTCACTTCAAGTTACCAAACTACATTAATAAACTGAGATGAAATTATCCGGTTAAATCCTACGATGCTAGAGGTAACTACTACAGTACCAGTGGTAATCAGAAAGATTGAAGATCGATGATAGGATTGTCAGTCAATTACAACGTAGAACTTCGTACGTATATACATAAGTTCAGGTTGCCAGACCACATTAGCACACAGAGACGCAAATGTCAAATCGAATCCCATAGAGGTATTAATGGTAATGAAGAAGACTAGGGTTTGAAGACATTATTCAAGAAAGTATAATTCAGTGAGATAAGGTTAGAAAGACAAAGGTAGAGGTGTTGATGAATCCAGAAGATTAGGATTTGAGAGAACAAACAACGAATGGATGATAGGATTGAAAAGAATATAAATCGGTGAAATATATATATATATATATATATATATATATATATATATCAAACAGTTATGAAGAATTCAGAAAATTAGAATTTGGCGTGGCAGATAAGGAATGCATGCAGCTGTGCTATTATTGCAAAGGATTTTGAACCATGTCATTCAAAATCTCTTACCGCTAGTGATGTTTATCATGGCGACTCAAACTAGCTAAATCCGAAACTCATTCACACTATTCAATCCAATAATTGTCAATGACTAGATGAATTGATGCCATGTTTTGTTTTGGCCATCCCTCATATTTTTTTCTATCAGCCTTCTCCTCTATATGTACATCAGACGACATCGCTTGGTCGAGAGGTAGTCGGTAGCTGATTGTGCACACGTAAATCAATTTTTTACTAACCACCTCAACTGATTAAGAATCACTACTTCATCAATTAATTTGTTATTCTTATCTAGTACTCTTATTACTCACTTCCACTCGATAGCCAACTTGAATAGTAATTCTAAGTTATCATTAACAGAATGTACTAGCGTTGTTCTACTTCCATTTTGACTAAATTTAACTCCATCAAACACCAAACTTTTTCTACACACCTCTAGTCTTTTTCTATTTTGAGCCTACCAACTAATCGAAAGCTTGTGTGTGTGTCAGTGTCAACCTGGTCGTGTTATCGAACTGGCACTAGTAACCATTTGGTATTCAACGCATATACATACATAGATCATTTTGCATTTGAAATGAAATGATCATCGTTCTAATCAAAGAAAATGAAACACCTTTTACATACAATGTGAAAATGTAAAAAAAAAAAACATTTTACTACAACAACAAATTGTTTTTCTCTTTTTTCGCACTGTGAAGTGCGAGTGTGTGTTTTTGCCAATTGACCTTGACCGAGAAGTATTATTTTATTGTGTGTGTTTTTAAACTAGAATTTGGAAAAGTTTCTCGTGTGTATTAATATTATTGTAGTTAATAATAATGGTGATATATATTATGACTGTTGTTTCTTATTGAGGTTAATGACTAATTTCATTTCAGTAGTATGTAAGTTTATCTGTTACATTGTGTGTAAGACAACCGCACACACACACACACACGCACACACATTTTAATACATTGCACGAATCATATCAATTAAAAGATTTTGCGATTGTTACGTAACGCTAACACACACACACACACACACATAAAACTTACGTGTCAAAGTCATGCCCAATTCTAAACATTTACGATAACGACAATGTGGGCATTTGCCACGACCGGGGCCTTCAACACGACATCGTCCACCCATTGGACAGATGGACTCGGATATAGTGGAACCAATTTCAGAATTTCGTAATCTAGCAGCTGTATGCCGCATGAAGAATTTCTGTAATTGACAAAGAAAATTACGAAAAGAAAGTTGTTTTAATGTGAACATGTTGAACATCAATCATGTGACTGGTAGATCATGCCAGTCAATGAATGAATGAATGAATGATGAAGTATTGGTGATGAGACAAATTAAGTTTGATATAAACAAAACAAAAACATTGACTGTTGAATGCATATTGAACATTGTTGTCCTTCTTTCACTTCTATTCACATCCCGTTTATTGATTTTTTCTGATGGATGAAAAACGATTATATAACTTCTTAGATCAATCATGTTTACACTCCTCCATAAACAACTATTCATCATCGTCATCAACAACAACCACAAACATCTTACCAGATGATTGTTACAGATGAAGCAGGTAGGTTAATATTAAACCGAAAAAGGGAAATTTATGTAAACACTCTAATGCATATATAGACATATATGCTAGATGATAAGTAAAAAGCAATTGCTTAAACCATATGAGAAAATGAAACAGTCAAATCATCATTTTTTTTAAATTCAATATAGAGGTGACGTTCAACTCTGTCGAGTGTAGGCAGTAACTGCTAAAGACGACAAACGGGTGAGGTTGTGCAAGATCCTAAGATTGATCAGAGTTATACAATAACACCATTTGATACCGACTGAGTGGTATAGAGGTTAAGGTGTTTGCGCGCAAGACCGAAGGTCCTAGGTTCGAATCCTCCGAGTGGCAGGAGTTGTGGATGCGCTCTGCCACTGATGAGTAGTCCGATACTAGAAACTAGAAACAGCCGTCTCTTCCAGTGCTTCTTTCAGGCCTCTAATAACGATGGTCTGACAATGATTCATTCTGGCTCAAAATCGTTCGCAATGGCGCCGGTGCATTCATTCTTTGTGTTCTCTCAAATCCTAATCTTCTGGATTCTTCAACACCTCTAGTTTTGTCTTTCCAACCTTATCTCATTGAATCATACTTCTTGAATAATATCTTCTGATCCTAACCTCTCCGATTACTTCTAATTCCCTTACTACCTCTTCTACTATTGGATTTGAGTTGACAATTATATCTCTGTGCTGATGTGGTATGGCAACATGAACTGATCTACTTACGTGCGAAGTTCTACGTTGCATCTGACTGACTGAATGATTCATTCATAATGATCAGTAATTAACAACAATCTCTTTAAACTCAATCATGAAAAAAATCGATTTTTTTAATTGTAGGAAGTAATTTTTAAAAATAATAATAATTGCTTAAACCACATGAGAACTGACTGAAACTGTCAGATCAGTGTTGATTTAAAAAATAATAAACTTGAATTTAACTCAAAATTAAGTAGGTCAGGGGAATGAAACAGTTTGTTTTTTTTTAAAAAAAAAAACACAGAGTTAATCACTAGAAGAAAAAATAGTTTATTAGATTACAAAAGTCAATTGATTAAAGAACCAAAAAAAATGGTAGGTTTTAGTTTAAAAAGTGTAGTTTAACGGTTCGAAGTTATACACATATATACGCACATCAAGGAGAGTTTGACATGGATAAACCGAAGAATTTTCGACTGTTTGAATAGCCCTATTATTACTTGTTCACTTTGATGACTGGATGGTGATTGAATTAGTCAGCTTTCCCGAATTACTGGTTTGAATCCATACACCACTTCTTTAGTCAATCAGTCAGTCAGTCAGTTACAACGTAGAATTTCGTACGTAAGTACATCAGTGCAAGTTGCCATACAACATTAGCACAGATAGATGCAATTGCCACTTCAAATCGCATACGGGGAAGAGATAGTAGAAGTATTAGCGGTAATTGGAGAGATTAGGATTTGAAAAAAATCACTGAAGAATTATAATTCAGTGAGATAAGTTTAGAAAGAGAAAGATGGAAATGATGAGGAATTCAGAAAATTAGAATTTCAGTGAAGACAAAGAGTGGATGCACCTGCTCCAATGGAAACGGTTTTGAGCCATGTCCTTTGAGGTCTGTAACCATTGGTTACTACCCTCTTGCGGACCCCAACCAGGTAGTCGACAACTACCGACATGACTCAGTGAGTTAATTCATTTGTGCCATGTTTTGGTTTGGCCGCTCCTAGCTTTCTTCCAATCTAATCCCACACCACAAAACATTAACTCGTCGAGGCAGTTGGTGGTTGAGCATACGCACGCAGTACATGTCCCAACCACCTCAACTGATGAAGTTGCAATACTTCATCTATTGATCTGCCATCCTTACTTAATATCATCTTCCTAACAACAGCATTGCTTACTCGATGGTCCCAGGATACACGAATTATGCTTCAGAGACACTCTTATGATCGAAATTCAGTAACCTAAGAATATCTTTTACTCTGACTGGCCACATTTCACATCCATGTATCAGGATAGAGTGAACTGATGAGCAAACGGATGTCTTGCCTATGCCATACATGACATAACTTGGCAAAAGCTAACCTCTTCCCTATTTAGATTTATTAAACAGACTGGTAGTATATCACTAATCAAACTATATTTATTTCAGTAACCATTGGCATAGATAGATGAATATGTTTCGAGCCAATTATGCAACCATAACTAGTTCATTAAACCAATCTAGCCAGAGTCTGAAGTGATCTTAGAGACGCGACAGAGCCGTATATATGTATGACATCATTGAAAACAATGGGAATCACTTGATTCCCGGCTACATTTTACAAACATGCAATATATTTGAAAATCAACAAGTCCATGATAAATTACATTCATTTACACCTCATTCGCTTATTTCGAAACTATCTATCTATCTATCTATCAAGTGTGTATACACCCACACACATACATACGCACACTTCCTAATCAAACCGACTGCTTCAGTAAAATAAAAAGTATCACATCATTTTCATTAGTCCATTATTATGTGCCATTCGCTTTACTCTATACTACCAATATTCACATGAATCGGCGCATTCTTCTTTGGTCGTCTGTATGCGTGTACACACACACACACACACAAGAGAAAAGAACGACAAACATGTGACTTTTATTCAATTTTAACTTCACAATCAAATCAAATGCAATCATGTATAGATTATTATTATTATTATTATTGATAATTCTTTAAAATGTGCAACAAACACTACTTATTCTCCATAACTCTAATTAAAAATATCATAAAATGTACTCACTAGTGACTACTAACTAACTAACTAACTAACTAACTAACTAAGTGAGCGAATTCTCAGAGTTCTAGTTGAGAAGATGTGACTTAGTGGAGTTCTTCAACCTTGTCAGGTGTAGGCAGTAACTACTATCAAAGACGACAAATGGATGAAGTCACTCAAAATCCATAAATGATACCCGCTCAGTGGTCGTCCAGAGGTTAGGCGTTGACGCATAATACCCTAAGGTCCAGGATTCGAATTCCGGCTATGTGCATGAGTCGTGAATGAGCAATGCCACTGATGAGTAGTCCTATACCAGGACGAACCGATTGTCTTCCAGGTTTCTTTCTAATGGTGGTCTAACAATGACTGATTGATGATGCCTACTTGGTTGTTGGTACAACAACAAATGATTATTAATTTACTCACTATTTACACAGTACTATCTATGTCAAATCAAAATTCATTTAATCCTAAGCAGCATATATATATATATATATTGAATAAAGTGTGGAGAGAGAGAGAGAGGTATTAATAATAATAATAATTCACTATTGTCTAAAGTTTTGTTTAGACTAGAAATGTTGACTAAATATCATCGTCATCATCAGCATCATCATCATCATCATCATCATCATCATCATCATCATTATTCATAAATTGAACATTACAAAAATTTACATTAATTGTACTATATGTTATTAAAATTGAAATATCGGTTTATGTTAAATAATGATAAGCATTCATGAAAATGAATCAAATATCTATCATATTTTTATTATTATTGAAATGATGAATCAATCAATATATTGTTAGACCAATAATGATTAGAAACCTGGAAGACGACTGGCTGGTTTGGGACTACTCATTAGTGGTAGTGCACATATCAATGACTCTTGCTATGCGCACACCGTTCGAATCAAGGACTTTCGATCTTACCAGTGAACGCCCAACCTCTGGATTACATATTTTACGAGCTTGTGTTTTGTGTTGTAGGAGGAGATTGGAAGAAACCCTAGGAGTGGCCAAACCAAAACATGGTGGGAAATCCTAAATTCACTAAAAAGTGGATTGAGTCATGTTGGTAGATGTAGACTACCTGGTTGGGGCCCTCAAGATGCTTAGAGAGACCTTGAATGATATGGCTGAAAATCGTTTGCAATGGCGCAAGCGCATCCACTCATTCATTGTATTCTATGAAATCTTAAATCTTCTAAAATTCCTCATCACCTGAACCCTAACTAATATTTCCGATTACTGTTAATACTTCTACTATCTCTACCACTATGAGATTTGAAGTGACAATTCCATCTATCTGTGCTGATGGCGTATGGCAACTTGAACTGATGTACTCATGTACAAAGTTCTAAGTTGTAACTGACTGACTGACTGACTGACTGACATCATCATCGCCGTAATAGTATGGCGAATAATCAGACAAATACGAAGGAAGAGAATAAAATAAAAGACAAAGATATTATTGTTTTTGCATGCATAGTTAAAATGTCAACTTCATTGTACAATTTGATTTGTTTGTGTATACACAGTATGCGTAAACACATATTGAATAATGCTATGCTATGCTAATAATAATAATACTGTTTGTAAGAACATAGTTAATTTGTTTTATACTTTGCCTTAAGTAGTACCACACACACGCACGCAAACACACACACGCACACGAACACACACCACTATGCACGACAACAAGAAATCAAAATATAGAGTTAGTTAAGTGCGTAATTGAAGGGAATTTAAGGGGAAAGAAAAACACAAATATTTTTCCAATTGGTTTGTTTAATCTGCAAAAAAGATGAAATTTTGAATGAATGAATAAATGGTTAGTTAGATGATATATTCCATTGCTTACGATTGAAGATACTGATA